AGCTATTAAGACATAGGGTGCATCTACACTGTAGAAATAATGCAGTTGGACACCATTTTAAGTGCTGTAGCTCTGACCTATGGAATCCTGTGATTTGTAGCTTTACAAGGTCTTTAGCCTTCTATGCCAAGGTGTGCTGCTGCCTCACAAAACCATGAATCCCAGGATTCTTTAGGATAGGACCATAGCAGTTAAAGTGGTCATACTATCATAATTCACTTTGAGGAGAGAGAGAGAGATGCTGCATGGGTAATTAGCAGTCCAGAGGTCAATCCATAGCTGAGAAAACCAAGATAAGGCAAATATACAAAAGAGTAGTTAAATTCCAAGTTTCCAAAAAATGTCTTTCACATGGTGTGAATGACAGATGCTCCCAGCATCTAAAAGTGTTTGCTGCCTGCCTCATCTAGAGTGGCTGAATGTTTGGTGAGAATGGTTGGGCCAGCTCTAACTGAGCTGCAGGCATGCTAAGCCCTTCCTTCCTCATATTGCTGACATCTCAGAAGGACAGCTATGATCTGTCTCTGGACCCAGCCTTAAAAGCCAGGCAGCTGCACCACCCAAAAGAGTTCTGTGGCACTGATGAGTGGTGTGCTTGTGCATTTTTAGATCCTAGAAGTTATGCCAAAATCATAAATGTAGAAAATTTACAATATTGAAAATCTAGCTTATAAAAGAAAGAAAAAAAAGAAAGAAAGAAAAAGAAAGAATGAAAGAAAGAAGAAAATCTAACTTATAGATAGTAAATCTTGGACAGGATGCCAGCTTGGCTGTCTCATAGCAGCCTGTTAGTTTTGACATAAGCAATCATTAACTGGCCAAATTGGTGCAGTTCCCCCCCCCCCCCAAATGTCTTCTTTCTGATCAGTAACTTGAAATCACAGACACAGCACAGAAGAGGTGGGGTTGCCATTTGTCCCAGAAAAGATAGAAAAGTATCTGATTGAAGGGATTAAAAAATCCTGGCCAACTGGACTAGTTGAAGCTGTAAATCCTGGATTTTTCCTTCATCACAGGCTGATGGGTAGATTAAAATGTGGCAATGATAATGAAGCAGGAAACCATGTGTGGAGAGAAGGCAGAACTGCATCAGCCCTAGCAATAGTCAATAGAAAGTGAGCTGGCTTCAGCCAATGAAACCGAAGGCTGGAGATGAAAAATAGTTGGTTGGTAATAGTTGGAATCAGATAAGGTTGAATTTAGAGATGAGAGGGACAGTTACAGTGAGGGTTCCAGAGAGGGACAGTTATTGTGAGGTTTCTAGATAGAAACTGAGTGTCAAAGTCCAGAAGTGAGGGACTTACGGTAATACCTGTGAAGAACTCCAAGTGAGAGAGTAATAGTGAAGAGATATTCTAATCTAAGGGATGTAGATAGCCATAGTGGCAGGTTTATTAATTAGGTTTAAGGAAAGTAATCCAGAAAAAGGACTGTGTGAGGGTCCTAGGTAACAGTAGCTCTTATTATCTGAGAAGAGTAGTGTAAAGGAAACTGCCATTGCAACAAAGTTGAAACTACGAAAGTAAAACTGTCAAGTGAAACAAGCAACACAAATACATGAAGTAACAAATGTCTTGTTCACCTATAACTAAGTATTGTTTGAAACATCTCCTAAATAAAGTTCTTTTATTATTTTAATAAAAGCTGATCTGCAGCTTGATTGAATATCCACGCTACTAACAGTCAAAGTATTTTACAGCACAATTAAAGTACACTTCTGACATTTATACAAGAGTGAAGCAGTATCAAAAATAGATTGGAAGTCACAAGGAAAGTGACTTAAGTGAGGTAAACAATATGAAAGAGTATCACATCATGCAAGAAGACTGGCGTGGGCAGGAGCCTCATCCCATCCTACAGGCTTCTGTAGCTACTGCACAGGTGTGGCATTGCCACCTTATTCTTCCATTCACTCCCTTTCCCCCAACAGAACCAGAAGGTGGAAAACCAAAGGAAGTAAGCAGAGATGGCCTTGTGTTGTGTGGTGATTGTGTTGCAGTTTCAGCCAAAGGCTAGGCAGCACAGTAGCACTTCACTTTCAAACACCCTTAAGAGTGTAAAGAAAGTCCCATTACTCTTGTTGGAATATAGATGGGTTAGGTGAAATGTAGAGATGTGTGTCTGAAATTTTTCTCATGAGAACAACATCTAGGCAAACAAAAACAACCCAGTCCAGGTGGCCAGAGAGTCATAACATCAGAAGTTCCTAGCTGGGAAAGGCAGTCAAGAACAGATAACAGTATCCAAAACATCATTAGGCTTGGGAAAGAAATTACGTGGTTGATGATGGACAGCAAGGGGCTGGGTTAACATACATCATACACATAACATCCAATCAACATAAGGTTAACACCCAAAAGGTGGAGAAAGGGCAGGGGTGAGAAATCCCTTTTTCTAGAGTTGTTTATATTTCTTGCATTCTTCCTGTTTGTGTTTGTATTCACAATGGATCTAACTATGGAGTTAATTTCTAGACTATAATGTGCTTAAATTGCTTTTACAATGTAACTTCTGGATCTGGAAACATGGATCTATAACTCTTCTGTTCTACCACATCAGCATGATGTGATCCTATGGTGGACTGTATTTTTCTTTGCTTATTTTTACCTTTTGAAACAATAAAGCTCTACTTTTAGAATTTTGGATTTTTCCCTGGCTCTGCTGGATTTTCAAGCACACCACACCAATAAAATTCAACAATTCTCTGGGACTGCATAGAAGCCTCCCTCTCTTCACAACTACTAGGTGGGGGTGGGAGAAGAAGAAGAGAGCTTTTAGCTTGGTACTAGTGCTGAAGTTACAATATAATGGTAGAAAAAGTGCAATGATTAATGTATTGAATTTGCATAATCAGAATGCAAATTAATAATATGCACAATTATGATAATTTGCATACACACACAAAAAAATTAGATGCCTGGATATGAGGGACTGAAATATGGCAACCTTCAGAAGAGGTCACCCTCTTTCCTTTTCCAATGATCTCAGTGCTTCTTTCAGTCAATTGCATTTCACTGGTGCCAAGTTCACCTGAAGAACCATCTCTGTTATCTCTCACCTGAGCATTCTTTGATTCCTCTCCATCTGGACTACTCTAAGTAGCCCTATACAATTTTTGGACTTGGTATTTATAACTTTCTGATAGCTGGCAGTCCTTTGGCCTATATTTATGAACTAATGAGAGAAAACAGAACATTAATTATCTGAACTATCAAAAACTGACCTCTTTGGTTTTCTTGTTCATGATGCAAACTGACAGTGTAACTGTGGATCACTGAGGTCTTGCTTGGTAACAATAGTAACAGCTCCACTGTTAGCTGGCAGGATGCCACAGTCTCACTCAGACACAATTAAAGACTCTTTACAGAAATAACTCCCTCTCCTAAATAACCTTTATAATCAGGTCAATACTGGTTTATAAATTTTACATAATATTTTAACAATGTTTGCCTCAGAATACTCTCAGGTTCTCTTTACAGAACCATTACTGAGGAATATATTCCATTGAGCTAAGAAATACTGAGGGTGGGGCTAAACTGTAAAACTAATGCAGTTTACGAGTTTGACACTACTTTAAGTAGCTCCACTCTATGGAATCCTGGGATTTGTAGTTTCACAAGGTCTTTAGCCTTCTCTACCAAAGAGTGCTCATGCCTCATGGTACTATAAATCCCAGGATTCCATGGGAGTTGAAGTGGTGTCAAACTGCATTATTTCTACAGTGAATGTACTTTACTGAATGTGCATCATAGGATTCAATGCTAGAATTCAAAACATGCACTGTATGGTGGCATTCTGTTAGGATGCAAAGTGGACAATGAAGGGTGTAATTAAAATGGATTAATTGAAGATAAAAGTCAAGTTCCAGCACCTTCAGGATAACATTCAAAAATAGTACTAAAAATCTAGGGCTGGTGATTGTAATTCTGAATCAGATTTATGGATGCCTAACCTGGAATTATGCATCTGTAGTGGATCTGTATTTGCAATCCCTACATACTCACAATCATGGCACTATTGCTATGATTGCAATTTGTCCCTGACCCACTTTACTCAGTATCAACTGTACAGAGAGAAGGGAGTCAGGGCACAGACGAATGACGTTTTCACCAACCAGCCAAAGAGGCTGCATTGATCAGAAACAGGACTCCTGTCACACTTCCTTATTGCAACTTCATTGACTGGAGGGTGGTAGAAACATCATCCATCTGCACCTCAATCACCAGAAGAACAGACTCCCTTCTCTCTGCACAGCTGAAGCCTGGCAAAGTAGCTTGGGAGAATGCTGAGTCTGAGAGATGCTACTAAGCTATGCAACTAAAACTATTAGGTAACTCAGAGCCTTATTGCATGACAAAAGAAAATTGAGATGCAGTGAGAGATAAGTGACTTTCTCCTTGCCTCTCTGCATACTCCATTTAGCACACAAGTCATAAAAATGAGCCTTTTACCAAATGGAATTTTCCAATGCAACAAAAGGCATGCTTTTACAATAATCTTTCTTGGGAAGAGAATGGGATTGCTTCAATGGCATGAAGAGAGGCAAGAATAAAGTTCTTTCTCTCTTGCTGCATCTCAGCTTTTTTTTTTTTTTTTTGTCATGTGATAAGGCTCTAAGTAGCACAAGCAGAATTTGGGCACTGGTGTTGTGTGCCTTCAAGTCATTTTTTACATATGGTAATAGCATTAGCAAGTACATTTCTATACCGCTTACTGATGTATTAAGTGGTTTACAAAGTGTAAGCTAATTGTCCCCAACAAGCTAGGTACTCATTTTCGTGACCTCAGAAGAATGCCAGGCTGAGTCAGCCCAGAGCCTCTGGCTGGGATTGAACGCACAGCCTTGTGGTTAGTGATTGAGTGGCCATTATGCCATTATGGCAACCCTAAAGTGAACCTATCATGGGGTTTTCTTGGCAAAATTTTTTCAGAGGAGGTTTGCCATTGTCTTCCCCTGAGGCTGAGAGCATAAGACTTGCCCAAGATCATCCGGTGGGTTTCTTGGCCAAGCTGGGAACTGAACCCTGATCTCCAGAGTTGTAGTCTAGCACTCAAACCACTACGCTATGCATAATTTGGGCAGACTTGATTAATTAATAAAGAAGAGGATATCTGTGCTGGGTAGCAAAGTTTCCTTTGTAGACTACCACTTCCTGAATGCCCCCCCTCAATGAGCATTGCCTTCACTCTGTATTAGCTCCCCTTTGCCTTCAGTGGTTATGTTGCTTAACTGAATCTGGCTACATGGCCATATCACTGTTACTACAAAAGGATATTTGCAAAAGAAAATGGATGTGGAAGCTGAGATGATCATGGCAGAGATGAAGGCTCACTGGTTAGGGATGATGGGGAGACAAGCTGCCTGAATGGGTGGGGTAAAAAACAACAACCCTGAATTAATTCAAGGGCAGCTTCATTCTAAGATATCAAAGAAATTTCTGGAAAAAACATCTCTCCATGCTCCATCAACACCTAAGGTAATACTATTCAAAGTGAATGGGAGATACTGTGCATAATCACTCCATTCCAGCCTTTTGAAGTGATCACTTATTGGGGAAGAAAAGCTATTTCAAGTTTTTAATATTAAACAATCTACTGAAATCCACTGTGGCTACATAAAGTAATGAAATAATGGAAAGAGCAATGTGCTAATTCACAAGGCTAAAAAGATCCCTCATTGAAGTGGAACAGCATTGCTGCTTCCCTCTTGTTAATATGGCTCAAGCCTTCTGTTGCTGAGCAGTAATTCCTAAGAACATTAATGAATTTGATCTCACGCTTGAGCATCTGCGCATGGTGTTTGATCTATGGTCATTGCAGCATGTAGCTATCCAGCACAACTGTGTAGTGCATGATCATTCCCAGTTCAGAAGACAGCTCACTTTGTTTGAAGGGGAACATAACTTTGAATCAATGCCTACAGAGTTATGCCAGCTGGGCAATGAAGATGATAAAGCAAAAGCAAAGCAGTAAACTCTAGATAAACATTTAGGGAGGCTTCTCTTACAGAACCCATGAAGAGCAGTTTGTGTTCTAAAGTGTATATTTGAAAACATTGAATTTCAAATATTCAGTGAGGTCTTTGTCAAGTGCAAAAATTTGCAAATTGCCAGGGGGTGGGAAGAAAAGAGAGCATGAAGCAGTTGGTAAGACTGTCCCCATTTTGAATTGGACCCAGATGTCATGGAGATGGGTCCAACCCAAAGTCTATATATTATTGGTGCTATCCTGTCTAGGCCTCTTTGTCAATCTCCCCCTCTACAAAAGCATTACTTAGGTAGAAAGGGTGAGAGGCAGTAGGGGAGTCTTACTGCCATATTAACTATAGTTTCCAATATTTTATCAATGAAAACCTGGCTGTATGTGGCCAAGCAATATTAGAATGTGGTGAAGATGGTAAAGGTTACTAACAAGAAAGAAGATGCAAGTTAGAAGAGGCTGCAGCAGATTGCTTTTGCCTGAGTTCACTAGAAAGGACAAGATTCTGCCTCCTCCTCTGTACTCTTCCTGTTGTGTTGAGTGCAAACAGCTTTTGCACTGTGAATCCATTTTGCAGCAATTGGAACAAACTGAGAAGAAATGAAGAAAGTGGAAGGAGGAGGGGAGAGAAACTGGAACCTTTCAAAAGCAGCTGAAAAGTGTGAGAACAGAGGATTAATTGGACTATCCCTGCCCAATTGGGACAGTTGGAGAATATATACAACTTAAACATTGCAAAGTCTCTTCATCGCTCAAACTGAGGCTCAAAGTACTATTTTCTGTGGATGAACACAGCACCTGTAGTTTTTAAAGTAAAGAAAGAAAGAAAAAGAAAGAAAGCATAAAACATCAATTTGAAATAACTGGAAAGATATTTGCCCGCTGGTCACTCTGGTCTAATAATAATAACAATAAAAGTTTTCATTATGACCAGCTTGATCTGTAAATTATTATTATGCCCAGAGCTTGGAAGTAAGTTGTTACTAATAATGAACAACTTGTATAAATTCCTTTTTCTTTTTGCAACAACAAAAAGCTGTAATGATGTTGTATTAAGATGCAATCACTACTTAATGAGGAATAACTTCATCCTTTTTACAGCTTAACTAAATGTTAGCTACTTTTATAATTAAGAGGGGCTAGTTTCACTCAGTAGTAGATTGAATTACATAATTCAAATTGGGTCATGCTGCTGTCTCATGTTTTATTGTGTGTCTTAAACTGATGATAAAATGAGTGGGAAGAATGTGTTTTAGTACAAATGGTCTTTTTAAAAAGTGATACATTAGCATTTGGGTTCATTTTGAGAAATGAAGATGGTTACTTATAAATAACTGAAATTATAGTAGTAAGAGGGAAATTCTTGGTTCCATAATTAAATTAGTTACCATAAATGGTAACTAATGAACTTTTAAATTTAAGTTCAAAGGCTTTAATTATGTCATAGCAATTGAAGTTGCCTATTTGCAGGAGACTTTTCCTGGAGTCAGCCCAATGGCTAGATTAGGAATGGAAGCTCAACATTTCTTTTTAAATATGGTGGGTTGAATAGGTAAGTCAGGCAAGAACATGGACAAGAGCAATGTGGATGCTGTGAGATCACCCTGAGCATTTCCTGAATAGGTTCCTCACTGACAGTGCAATTCTAAATCAAGAACGCACTGTTGTAGTTGTAGAGGTTTAGGATTAGCCATAAAACATTTTTTGATGGTAGAAATGCCCTTCTGCCAACAGACCCTAGTTCAGCTGAGTGATCACAGAGATGGCAGAAATCTGCCAGAAAAATTGGTCTGCTGAGTAAAAGTGCCCGTAGAAGAACCAAAAGTGGGAGTGGATGAGAACCAGGTTATGCTAAATCGAAACCACCTAAGGAATTTCCAACCACCAACATCCCTAAACTGAGAAGGGCTTGGGTTCAGCACAGTTTCAACATGCCTTATGTCAATTTGCCATCCTGACTGTTTAAGATTGAGCCCTGACTGGGAAGCAGGATTAGCCTGTGTCCTCACAAAATAATACATGAATGATTTCAGAGATGGTCCTATTTGTCTGAATACACTACAAGGAATTTTATTACAATTCCATTATCTAAAACTACTCTTTACAAAGTTTTTAGTGCTGTCAATACTAGAGAATGTGTTTTAGTAACAGTTGAGAAAAGCATTTCAGGAAAACATTACTGGCCATTCATTCAAAACCAGGAGATGCTATCTTTAGTTTATAAGACATGACTGCTGGGCAGTGGCAGTAGCAGTGGTGGTGACAAGCCACAGGCTCTCCCTCCTAAACAAAATATGATGATAAATCATACCTCAGTTTGGAAACACAAGATGTAATGTCATTTCTGCAGTTTCCCCTCTGGAGACAGTTAAGATAGATCACTGCAATGAACACAAGTCATTCATATCACCACATGCACACCCACACATGAGATGTAAATGATCTTTTAATTTGCTCTCCATTAAGACTGAGATAGCTTCTTGGGACCTTGGGGAACTGAGAAAGAGCTGAAATGTCATCCTGTTTCATTTGAAACGGTTCCTATGAAAGTGTTGCCAAGGATCAATGTACAACCTAACAGGAATAAGGTGCTATACTGTTATGATATGCTATAGTATACTGTATATGCCAAATGATGACAGTGTGCAATAGAAAGCATTCTTTGGGAATTGCCAACATGGCTAGGCCATGGGCTCTTGAGCTGCCCCATGTTCTTCATGAACCAAGGTCTGCTGGTGTGGGGAAAATGATCATGATATCTCCCCTGCCAGGAACATGGCTTAGGAACAGTGCTCTTGGATCCATCCAGTCTAGCATCCAACTTTCCACAGTGGCCAGCCAGATTTTAAGAAGCTCAGAAGTATGGTTTGAAGGTAACCACCTCTCCAGTTTTCTGCCTACCAACAATTGGTATATAGATAGGGATGGTCCTACCATTAGGCAGTATGAGGAGACCGGTGATAACCCTCTGGACATTCCTCCTGAGCCTTGTCCCCTTCTTTCTGTTTTGGAGTACAGAGAAGTTTGTGCCACACCTCCTGAACTGTCCTCCTGACCACTGGTCCATCCCATAGATGTTGTTGAAACAAGGTTCAGTGGCAACCCAGTCAGCGTTTATCAATTTTCTTGTTCTTTGCCTCAGGCAAATGTCTTAGGTGAGTCTTATTTACAGGGGTGTGCACCCTTGTTTTTAACAAATGAGTAGGACTCCATCTGTCTTTCCCTCACCACCTTTTATTGAATACAATAAAAATAAGTGGGCTTCTTGGAATGGCCATTGGTGCATTTACTCCTATTTATTTCTTTAATTTCTCAGAACACCAACTGCCAGGTCAACTTGAAGTTCCAGGCAGAAGGGAGAGGGAGAGAAATTGCACTTTGCAGTTAAGTCTCTTTTTATCCCAAGTCTTGGGTTTCACACTATACTTTTATAACACTTTGACACCACTTTATCTCCCATGACTCCATCCTATAGAATCCTGGTGTCAGTTTTTTTAATTATACAATGTTTTTAATTGTACTGTGCTTTTAAATTGCAAGCCACTTTGAGTACGAATTGTGAAGGAAAAGCATGATATAATAATAATAATAAATATGTTTGAGTCATGTAGTTCAATCACTTACTGATGCTGTGTGATGCTGTCAGATCACACTATTGACTTATGCTTAGCATGTACCGTAGTTTACTCAGATTTTCTTTCTAGTGATAAAATACTTTTCTTTGAAAGTAACCATTTCTAAACTATGCTAAAATACACATTTTAATATTCCCATCTTTGTTTTATTTGAGTTGAAAACTGAATCACATTTGCGGGGGGGGGGGGGATATGAAATTGGTGTTCCAGTCCACATGTCCTGACCTACATGGTAATTCACTTTAGGACACAAGCTGCTATGTTCCAGTCCACATGTTAATCTTGGAAGTCAAAATCAGGTCAGTTTCTATCAGAATTTGTAAAGAATGAATTCCTCACACACAACTAGATATAAAATAATGGCAATTAAAAGTACATAAACATGGTAATGAGAGTCACAGCAAATATTCATGAGAGGATTAACACCACATGTTCCAGTACAAAAAAATGCATCCTGAAA